CAACGTGACGGCCTGGCGGAGGCTCGCCAGGCTGCTTTTTCGCGCCAAATGCGAAGCGCAAAGCGATCGCCACCAAGCTCGAGTTCGACACCAAGAAATCCATGGAGGACGCAGGACGCGCCTTCCTCAAGCAGCAAAAGGAGGCATCTCCATCATCTACAATCCCTGAGATTGCGGATGATCTGGAGAGCAAGCTCTTCACCGACACGACGGAGGGCCCCAAGACCAATCTACCTCCACCGTTCCCATACCAGGGGACACTGCCAGGCTCCTTCCCCGTCCTCACGCCACGCCTCCACAAGCTCAACTTCCCCACGTACGACGGCAAGGAAGATCCATTGCCATGGATTAACTGCTGCGAGCAATTCTTCAGAGGTCAGAAGACTCTGAATGGAGCAAGTCTGATATGCATCTTACCATCTGACAGGTGGCGCGCAGCAGTGGTGCATGCGCCTGATGTAGGACAAGATGGTGACGGACTGGGCGTATTTCACTCGGTGTGTCAACGAGCGCTTTGGGCCCCCTACATGGCGCAACCCCCTCGGCGAGCTCACCTCCCTTAGCAAGACAGGAACGATCGACGACTACACCGAATGCTTCCTGGCACACGTGGCTTGTGCCGGGCCCCTCGATGAACAACAACAAGTGAACATCTACACCGCCGGCCTCCTCGAACCCCTAAAGACCGACGTCGAGCTCCAAAACCCCACCGACATGGAGATGGCCATGTCCTTGGCTCGGGCGTATGAACGCCGTCTCGCAGTGCTAGCCGACTCCAACAAGGCGCCATCAACACCAACCTCGACGACCACGACATCGTCTACACCACCAGCTCCTCCGCGCCCGTTCAAGCGCCTCACCGCCGAGGAGATGGCGGAACGACGACGCTCCGGGCTCTGCTTCAACTGCGATGAGCCGTTCACGCGCGGCCACAAGTGCAAGCACATGTTCGACATCACGGCCGTCAATGACTATGACAACAACGACAATGACACTGACGTTGACAACAGCCTCCTCATGATGATCGGGACTGGCCAGTCCCGGTTCAGGGACGCCTGCCCATGTACCTGGCGGGGTCGTGTCGGGCAACGGCGTCCACATCCTCGTAGACACGGGCGCTACACACAACATCATCGACATCAACGTAGCCCCCCTCATCGGTCTCAAAGAACATCGCATCAACACCGCCATACTCGACGGGAGTGGGAACGAGGTTCCCTGTCGCGCTGCAACCTTCAATGTACCCCTTCGCATCGACACCGACGTCTTCGACATCGACGCCTACCTCCTAGACATTGGCAATGACGTCGACATCATCCTCGGCACACCTTGATTGGCTAGCCTTGGCCGACTGACTTGGGACTTCACCACCATGCAACTCCAGTACGTCCGCAACGGGCGCCTATTCACCTTCACCACCGTGCAGCGACAACATACCCTAGCTACTGTTCTCGCCCTACTGGCACCTCCGCTGATCGAGCGGGCGGCACGGGCGGCGACGCTACCTCCACCCCGCAACATCCTGAGCAGGGCAAGCCGAGCCCGCCACCCGAACGCCCTCGACTACATCGACATGACCAACATCATCTTCGAGCATATGCGTCAAGCTACACTTCGGCAACGCGAGCTCCGTACCATCGCCATGGCCATATCCGACGGCGTGGCCGCCCAGGCTTGGTCACTTGATCAAGGCCTCATCTTCTTCGACGGTCGGCTCTACCTCCCGGCGGCATCATCGCTCCTCCCTTACCTTTTGCAAGTTCTGCGCCGAGGTGGCTCGACCAACATGGAGCTCCTGGCCCTCGGCGCCCACACTCCACCGACGAGGGGCCAACACAATGGGGTGCCGACAAGCATCCTACTTGGACGCCCATGGCTGCAAGGGCACCCCATCACGTTGGCAACGGTGGTCTTCTTCGACAACCTAAGCCGTCTGCTCGTTCGCGTCGACAGTGTCCACATCACTCTTCGACCCGACTCCACCGCCCACCGACTCTCGCCAGGCAAATTCGACTTGGGCTCTTTCATGTTCGGCACCATGCTTAACTTGACGACGTCGCCATCAACACGATCAAGCACCACGATTTGGCGCCGCATCCCTGCCTACCTCGCCCCCGACGCCAACAACCGCATCCACGACTTCGTTGCTCCACCAAGTGAGATGGTGCACTTCATATTCGGGGCAGCCATAGCACGACCTCTACTTGTTGCGGCTCTCCAGACGACGGGAGCTGGCACGAACACTGACGCACACCTCTACTTCTTCTACGGCTACATCGGCAATCTCCTCTACCGCTTCGAGTTTTTGCCAACACACACGCGGGAGAACATCATCATCGCCAACCCCATCTACGGCCACATCCTTGGCCGCATCGAGGCCATTCTTCCCGGTGAAGCTTTTCCACTAGCTGGCGTCGACGACTGGACCCTACATCGGCACGGGGACACGCCGAGTGGAGAAGGGGGTGGTGTCATACGCCCAATGGAGGCCCCCAACCTAGAGCAAACGGGCGAGAAGGGCCCAAGGAGGGGCGCCAGGCGCCTCCACCAGAGGGGCCCCGCGGGCCCAAAAGGGAGGGCGCCGTCGCTCCCGTCACTCCCGCCGTCGTTACCTAAGTTACCATATCAAGTCTATTAAAGTTTGGATAGAGTTTGGTTAGTTATGGAATTGAAGTTTGTTAGTATGAAGGAGAATCCAATCGTATAAGGATCTTCCGTAGGTTGCTTGGAGTCCAAGCCCTATAGGGACTATAAATACTAGGGGATGTAATCAATCAAACTAAGCAATAGACGAGCGATTGCTCCTTCCTATCTCCTCCTCTCCTCTCCCTGCACCTGCCGCCTCCTCTCTACCTGCGCCGCCCTCTCTCCCACACCACCTCCCAACCCTAGCCGCCACCTCCACAACCGCCGCCCTTCCCCCAGCACGCCTCTTACAGGGGGGAAAGAAATGGGCAGCTCTGCCATTCAATTAAGGTAGAAGCGAGATTAACTGTAGTTTCTCTGTCAGCTAGTACTACTTGATGGAGACAGATGGGCACGGTCCCATTAGATGCGCAGTATGCAGGGAAGCAAGCTTAAACTAGCCCTCTCTAGATGGATTGTTTAGATACTTGCACGTATACATAAACCTTTGCTAGTCTTTCTCAATCAAGGGGGGCAGGAGCCAAGTTTGGCTCCACTAAGCTCCACCCCTGGTTTGCATCTGCATGCTGACTAGATAGTCAGCACTCACTCAATAGGCATACAGGGAAGGATTATCATGATTATATGGAAAGCCAGGGGGATTGTTATTCACTTGAATTCAACCTTGGATACTTGAATCTTCTAATGGGAAATGGCTGATATATCAGGCACTAATCCTATTGAAACACCAATCATACTCTCCATACCACGAGCTGTTGTGCTATGAGGCAAAGGTGGAAGTCCAAGTCAGCACAGCAGGCTCCATCCTCTTAACAAATGGAGAGAAACATTGCTCCTCTTTTTCTTCAGACTTCAGAGGATTGCTCCTCAATTGTGCTCTAAGATAACTACATAAGTTTAGTTGTGGGCTTTGTTCTTTCAATCAGAAGGTTTTCTTGCCTCAGTGAATGACAACTAGTACAATCTTGCTCCACAGAGGATTTCAGTCTTCCTAGCAATCTCCCCCCAACCGACAATAAGCTTTGTTTCAGCACAACATTCATCCCTTACTTAAAATTTTGAGATTTCTCATACGAGCGTACCGCCTAACACGGTAACACCCACAGAACCGAACACAGGCCACCAGACGCGCCCTTGAAAGCCTGCAACCACAGAATTCAGAATCCCAACACGATAACAGCGTTCTGTTTGTTACCTTGGGTGACACGACCGTGGCGGCCCTCACCACGAGCCCCCTGGCCCTCCGCCCCCTTGGCACCGCAAGGGACGGCGTCAGGAGGAGCCCGCCCACCGCAGCCGGTTTCGCAGCCACCACCACCCGCGGCCTAGACAGCTGCACCGACGCCATGGTTGCTGCCGCCTGCAGGGAACTGCAAATGACACTGAGCGCGACTGCGCGAGGACGAGAACTAAGGAGCGGGGGCAGGCTGAGCTTAGGATAAGGGGCGGTTAACCTATCTTCAGAGCGTGTTTAGTTGGTGCCCTAAAATCCAAAAAAAATGCTACCGTATTCATCACATCGAATCTTATGATACGTGCATAGAGCATTAAATGTAGACGAAAAAAAACTAATTGTACAATTTGGTTAAAAATTACGAGATGAACGTTTTGAGCCTAATTAGTCTATAATTAAATACTATTTACTAAATAAAAACAAAAATATTACGGTAGCTCAAATTATAACTTTCACCCGACCAAACACACCCTCAAGCGCTCTATGTGTAGCCTGCGGCGGTTATTGGACTGTTGCGTTTAGGGGGAGCAAGCCGCCGGATAGTTCTAGAAGATCTAGGGTGCCGTGCGGATGGCTGCAAGTGGTCTGGTTGGCTGACAGGTAGGCCTCCCAGCTCCCACTGATTTGCAACGTTTTTTGGCACGTTTTTTATCACAAAAAAAAAGTGGTCTTGTCGCAGCATCACTAGAAAACCCGGTACAAGTTTCACAAATGGACTCATAATGAGATGCACTCAATTAATCGGATGCAAGTTCAGACGCTTGACAATCACAATTCACGGTTCTCAGGGTTTTGGCAAAAAAAAAAAATCAAAATTCACAGGAATACTACACGCTATCGCCGGTATCCATTCCAGTACAGATCTTGTCTGACGATTTGTCAACCAGCACCCCCACAGCACCAACGGTCTAATAACCGTGTGTGTATGCGTGCGCATCTATGCACCCTGTACCTCTGGATTTCCACATCAGAACTCCGGGTGTCATTATCAGGAATGCTTCCGCCAACACTGCATTTAATCCATGGAAGTTAGCTCCTCCAGAATTCATCCCTTTCATCAGATGGTCTTCAAACAGAAATCTGTAGCCAAGCCGAAGATATTTTGGAGCAACGAATTCCACTACTCGTTTAACAGCTGGGCAAGCATAGCATCTGCACTCTCAGGGCCATCGTTGTTTACACTCGGGATTATGTGCTCTGGTGATATGAACTTGACAAATTGTTGCAGTTCCGTGAAACTGCTGTGTTCACTGTAGGGCACTTCATATCTGTAGAAACAAAACGAATGACATGTTACTTTAGTCCATACACGGTATAGGTTTCTTAAAATTGTGGATATTTCTTTAGGGCAGGCACTAATAGCTTGTTTGGTTGCCTCTACAAGGCCCGGCCAGGCTCACTGGATGCAGTTTTCGGCTGTTTGGTTGCATCGACAAAGACCTAAGCCTGTTCCGCAGGATGCAAAATACTAGTAGCTCCTTCAACTTGGCTCCCAAGAAAGAAGTTTCATTTGCGATTCCTGCAGGCCTGGCTCGCTGGATGCAAGGTGTTTCCTAGCTAATGATATACTTAGTCCATAATTAAGTACTCCCTCTATCCACAAAAGGATGCAATTCTCACTTTTCGAGTCAAATGATTTGAAGTTTGACTAAAGTTATATAAAAAAAAGTAATAACATTTATGATACAAAATAAGTAGCATTAAATTACTTATGAAATATATTTTCATAGTAAACCTAGTTGAAGACATAAATGTTAATACTTTTTTTGAACACAACATAAATGTTAAGACTATTCACTATAGACATAGTTAAAGTTAAGCTAGTTTGAACAGAGGGAGTATATATTAAGTGATATTAGTGTTTTTAAGAGCTAATTAAGGCTTCATAAGGAAAACTAAGACTACCAAACATACTTATATACAGTAAATATAATAATTATTTTTATCTTCAACATTTTATCTCATGTGACATATTCTCATACAGACAACCCTACACTATACCTTAGACAGGATGGGCAAATACGAGCAACTAAACAAAGTGACCTTGTATGAGTTCAGCCTGTCTTAATGAGCCTGGTTCAGCTCATACGAGGCAGGCTAGGTGATACAAATAACCAAACAGACTACAACACTGTCCGATAAGCCCCAGGACTGATTAACAAAAGGAAAAATGTATAAAAGGAAAAAATCCAGGATGGTACCTGATGATTGATCCTTGTTGCCACCTTTTGCCTGGTGTCTTTTTCCTACCTTTGCCAAATGCCCAACCAGTAGGACAAAACGCCACTATGAGGTCAAACCGGCCCTGAAGGTAAAGTAGCTTTTCAGAAAATACAAATGTATCACAGAATTCGAAATAAAAAGGAAAAAATGGACTGAGTTGAGATTTCTTGCTGGATGAGAATCTGGAACAAAGATGGAACCTCTAGACAGTTCACAGATAAATGAAATGCTAAACATAATGAAGGGAATATAGAAATTCGTCTCAGTTCTGAAGTCCTGACTCCTGATAATACAACCAGAATATATGGTTAAAGATGAGGTTTTTAGTTATCTCTTCTAAGTAGAATAATTCCTAGCAACATCTAAGCTATGAGCATCCATGGACCTATTTTCTTGGTGGTGTTTCATCTAGGAATTTCTGGTTCAGTTTGAAGTTCAACAAAATTCCTACGAATTTTGATCATGCCCACTATCAGGAAGGCCCTTAAATAAAAACGAAATCTCTCTTACAGTCTTATGAAGGCATAAGACAGAATACAAAGACTTACAGCATATTGATTTGATAAATATTTCATCCGCTTGAAGCTTGCTAGAGTCCACATGGGGACAACATGTATGTGACTTTCTGCTTCATTGGCTGTAAACCAGTGCATAATATCCTGAGGAAGCTCTAAATGTTTCAATATTTGCAGCTTTGCAGCTCCAACATATATTTTCTTCTGAAGCAAACGAGCAACCTCCATAAACAGTCTTTCTTTTCCTGCATACAAGAACACTTGTAAGTAATTATCCTAAGTCCTAACTTAGAGAAACACCAAAATACCCCGAAACAGAAAATACGAGATAATACCAATTGTGTAGCTACCAATAAAAAACAATGGTTTTGGATTGAAAGCTTCTGCTTGGATGGCCTCAATAACGAACTGTATTACAATCTCTTGACTTGGGAAGTCATACTGCAAAATAATTTTATTCATGGCAGATTAACCATGTCAAAATTCAACTCTAAACTTTGGAAACATATAGTTTTTTCTGGACAAACTAAAAAGACATACCCGTGGTTTGCAATAGGTTGTGGACTTGTGTCAAGTATTAGAGTGTGGATATGAGAAGACTGCAAAACAGGATTGTTGGCCATCTCGGAAGAAAACCGGAAGTCTCCAGTGTGCAAAACAACCTAAAAAGCAAGTAATAAAGAAAAAAAAAACATATTGAATAGTTATGTCAAATAGATGGAACAAAATACTCAGACAAACACTTAATTTACCGTTGTGAGGCTCAAAAAGAATAATGATTGATCCAGGGCAATGGTTGGCATCAAAACATGTCAAACTAATTCCAGCAATAGTGTGCTTTTCATTTAGGGTCAATACATGCAATCTATCCCATGGAATACCAATCTTATGATGCACAAGACTCGCTGTAATTGACGAACAGTATATCTTCCCATGACAAAAGCTTCTAGTCAAGCCTTGATAATCTGTTGAAATAGAAATATGTGTTAGACATTGAACATCAGCATTAGGTGCCTAGCAATAATGAGAAAGAAAACATGTGGGAACCAGTTTGCTAATATGCTGGTGCAGGAAGAGTTCAATTCAATATAAACTCAGGCAACAAACAATAGAGGTTGTACTTACGATCCACATGGAAGTGTGTGAGAAACCAGTGGGAACAATCGCCTCTCAAATAGCGAAATGCATCCTGCAGCAACATTTTAAGTTATGGAACACGCTGATTGATATTAAGGATAAATGTTCTTGTAGGTCTGCAGAGATAAAAGCATACCACTCGAAAAGGGGTCCCTGGGATGCAACACCAAAGAGGTGTATCTTTAACCTTTCCTTTACCAGCACTTCTTCTAGTGGGTATTTTAGCACTAGAAATTTTCTTCTCGTTCAGATTAGATGGCTTGTTGACTTTGCATGCCCTTCTTTGTCTTTGATCAAATGAGGAACATTGAAAGTATTCAGTAATTAATTTATTACCATTCATCGGAACTTTAGTCTTCTTAGTATTTTCTGAATTTAACACGACATCTTCCACTTCACTGGGATCATCATGTTTCTTCCGTAACTCTCCTAGAGCATGGATAATTTTCTTTCTTGGTCCAAGAGAGGTGATCCCGATACCCAACAGATCCTGCAATCGATAGGGCAAATGTTAGTTGTTTTACCGAAAACCAGAAGTATCATTTGCCTATTGGAGTCACATCCAATATATTAACAACCAAGCAATTCTCTCAAAATCTTAGGATTTCGTGGAGAGCTGATCCATCTACTCATGCTTCAACAAGATCAAATCAGCAAAACATGCAAATGAATGCTGCGTCAGGAACAGCCTGGACTTACAAAAGATGGATCACATAATGTAAGCAGTAATGGAGTTATGCTCTACACTTGAAAATAAACTTGCATCTAAGAATAAGACAGAATGTACCTCTTCAGTGAGCCACTGCAAGGTTTCCCAGTCAACTTCTTCTCTGATAAAAACCTCCACATACTTGGATAACCCAAGGTTTCTTAACCATTCGACAACACGTCCAATTTCAACATTTTGTCCAGCACAGGGCTCTTTTTTATGGTTGGGACTAGATTCCTGAAAAAGATAATTCAAGTATATGCCTACTTTAAGATATATGTTATTCTTATTGCAGAAGAAGAAGAAGAAGAATTAGGGATGTCAAATGAACTAACTTTTTTTTTTTGAACGCAATGGCAGGAGCTCTGCCTTTCAATTAAGATAGGGAAAGAAAGTTTATGTACAAGCAAAGACAAACGAGATTAAGATTTCATCCCCCCCTTCCCTTCATACACTTGTGAGTTAAACGTGCTCAGGAGCTCTCTTCCTTTGGTGTATGTCTTCCTTTATCCTTGCGGCTACTTGCGCTTATATCAAGTTGTCAAAAATTCTCCTATTTCTCTCCTTCCATATATTCCGTAAAGGTGTAGATAACTATCCCGTTGAGCCGCCTCATCAGATCTTGGCACTTTCGCTGCCGCTTCCCATGACTTGATGTGGGTGGGGTTTACTGGAGTTGCAATTTGAATTTTCCCACGGTAATCCCAAACCACCTTGGCAAAAGGGCAACAAAGGCATAAGTGGCGGCTTGTTTCTAAGGGACCGTTGCACATGACACATTGTTGTTGGTGCGGCCACCCTCTCTTTTGTAGGTGTGCTCTTTTAGAATTTTATCTTGCACTAAGATCCAGGCGAAGATCTTGCATCTGGCAAATCAAGCCCGTCACGTAGCGAACCTCTGAATTGGATTTCAGATGCAGTGGGTGGAGAAATTCATCATTGGTCCAACGCCGTGTGATGTTGTCTGGGCGCCTCTGTAGGTGCACATCCCAGATTCAATCTAGAGGGATACAAACTCCTCTATGGGGTACATTTTTCCTCCCTAGTTTACGATGTTGTTCCGTTTATTTGGTTTGTCCTTGAGACTAGCCGGAACAAGTTCGGGCTAGATACTTAGGATCGAGATGTGGTGCCAAAACTTTGTCTTTGCACCATCTCCCAAAGATATAATGATTGAGGAGTTGAAGAGTCATCATCACATGGGAGCTCCGAGCAAAGGCTTGGAATCGTCCACCCATTCTTGCCAAAGCCATCGCAACCGGAGAGCTCAAATCTCTCCAGTCAGGGACGCCTAAACCGCCAAGGTCTTTTGGTCTTGTAACTGTCACTTTTGTCCGCCGTTGCATTCTCCTCCCCTTCCACAAGAAAGATCTCCCGATTTTATCTATTTCTTCTTAGCCCAAGTATATTTTGGCATGGAGGAGAGGACATTACAAGAGTGAGGCGTCCCAAAAGAAATCTTCCTTTCCATTTGGGTAGCTTTGTGCCCAATCCGGTTGAGAGGTTGCACATGGATCCTTTGCAAAGGATCTAATATGGAGTTGTAGCCCCAAGTATTTGCATGGGAAGCCTCCTCTAGTACCGGTGAAAGGTGACAATTGTCTAGGTCGACGTTTCCACACAACCAATTGGATGCACGAGCTCTTCGATTAATATGGAGTCCCGAGAATGTGCCAAACGCTGCAGGATTGTTTTGACCATCGTCTTTTGTGGGGCTGATGAAAATGGCGGCATCATCTGCATACAATGAGGTTCTCCATTTAGCCGCCGTGATTGGTAAGGGGGTCAGAATCCCCTGTTGAGTTGCTAGGTCAAGCAGACGTTGAAGTGGGTCCATAGCTAGGATGAATAGCATCGGCGGCGGATCTCCCTCGGCGACGCCTCGATGGCTAAAGGTGCCCCCATGTCGCCCATTCAAATGGGTGTCGAGGAGGATGTCCGTATGAGATCCATTCCCGTCTCCAGCTGCACACAAGTACCCCAATGAGCTCAGTATCAAAGGCTTTATGGATGTCTAGTTTCATGAACAAAGCCGGAATCTTCTGCTTGTGTAGTCTTTTAACACAATTATCGTGGATGCTTCTCCTTTTTATAAATGCGCTCTGGCGATTCGAGACAGGGAGTTGAGTCGGGGGCAAGTCTGTTAGCTAACACTTTGGAAAGATCTTTGCAATGCCATGGACTAGGTGATGGGTCTAAAGTCGAGTAATTCTTGTTGCATCCGTTTTTTTGGTAGAAGGATAATGGAAGCCGAATTTAGCCATTCGAAACCCTGGGCATTCAATGTGAATAAGCTGTTCATGGCTGCCATAACATCCTCTTTAATGGTTTCCCAACAAGCTTTGAAGAAGGCGTCCGTGAAGCCATCCGGTCACGGGGCTTTGTCGGAAGGCATGGAGTATAGTCAAATGAACTAACTCATGTTCTTTGTATCCACACTCCACTAACTTCGTCTCTGAGTTTTGTTGCTCAGCAACCAGTAAATTGGATGATAACATGAATGTCTTATTGATTATTAGTCAATTGAATCTAAATAAACAGATTTCATTGCACCACTTGTGCTCTTTTATAATTCATTATCGGGCAAATATGGTAGGAAAGCTTCCACGTCATTGACATTGTTGTAAATTGCAATCCACTGTGGATACATTTTCAGTGATGTTTGTTTATTGTCCCAAATAGGCAGGTGATGATGTACAAAAACAAACCATGATGATAATGGTCAACACTATGCAAAGAAACAATACCATCAAGCAGAGGATCAACACAAAAGCAGCAGTACTTTTGAGCTTCTAGCCAAAACATTAATTTAGCATGTATATTTAAGGCACATTAGCACAAAAGAAATTATAATATTAGGACATATTGAACATAACCTTAGCTGGTTCGTCAAGACAATTGTTAGTATGCAGCTGCCGGAGCTCCTCGCTTAAATCAGATATATCCGATCCACAGAGAGGGCATTTCACTTCATAGTCCGAATCGAGTCGCTTAGAGTCTAATGTGTTCCTCCATGGGAGATGCACTAAAGTTTGACTGTCCCTCTATGGAATCCTTCATACACAAGTTAATGAGCTCAACGAGTTGTGTTCCAATCTCAAAATCATCACAATCATCAACTTCAAAGTCATGGATCATATGGGATTCTAGAAGCTTTGATTCAGATGTATTAGAGCGGCACTGCCCCTTACAAGCCTCCTCGTGTTCACTTGATTTATTCTCCATAGGCACATTTTCGAGGTCACGTGCGTGTCCTCTGCTACTTTCTCTCTCTTGTGAAATCAAGTTACTGTGCTCCCAAAACCAGGCTCTTGGATTTCATTGCTAGCACAAACTCTAGAATCATACTTTATGCTCGACATTAGGAGCTCGATGAGAATCAAGTGATAGCTCCTGCTCTGAAGCCCAAAACCACATTCTGATGCCACCCCGTTTGCTTTCTTCGTGTGTCCCGCTTATCGATCCTGAGCAAGAATCTCGAATCGAGACCTTCTGAATCATACGAACTAGCAGTTACAAACTCGTAGTTCGCATCTGATTCAATAAGCCCCGGTTCAATCAACCTGGAGTCGTGATGTCCCTCTACAGCTTCAGAACTGCCCAGCTTCTTCTCCGTTTTTGGTGGATGACATCATGACAATCAGAGCCTGCCAGCTCCTCTGTGGCGTGCCCCTCCTCAAGAACTAAGGTACCAACTACTTGAGCATAGTTATGAAGGAGCTAAGGCGAGACGTGGCGAGCCACCCCCTTCCAATCGCCTAGGCGATCATAAGGCGAGGCAAGGCGACGCCATATGATTATAAGAAACTTCAAAGATGCAGCACAGAGGAAGGAAAAAAAGAAAAAGAAAAAGAAAAAGGAAAGAAGAAAAGAAGAAAAGAAGGACAAGACACTAAGAAAGGCCCAGCCCACCAGCCAGCCCATATATCCTTCCTGGTGACTTATCTGTTCCCTCAGCCCTTCCCATCGACAAGCATTACGTCTCCGCCGCCACTGCCCCTCTCTGTGCGGGACTCTTCTCTCCATCCTTCCCTCTCCCGTTCTCCATTTGCGCCATTGCTGCCTGCAACCATTCCTCCCTACCTCTTCCTCTCCCCGTCCTCACTTCTTTGTGCCGCCCCTTCCAGATCCTCTCCAACACCTTTAGATCGCAGATCGAGGGTTGCCGACCTTCTTGCCCTCCCAGATGTTCGATGTCGCAGAAGTTTGCGACGGCCATAGCGTCTGGAGCCGATGGGGATGGAGCAGAGACAAGTGTTTGGCCTTCCGGTCCTCCTCCAATTCTTCCTCTCTCTTCTGCCTCCCCTCCTCTCTTGTTTTGCTAATTTTTGGTCGTGGCGTCGGGGACGCCCATGTTTCTTTTAGCGCCTCGACGCCTAGGCGACGCCTTAATAACTATGTACTTGAGCCTCCTCATAACGCCCAACTCCCAAATCACATACCACACCAAGCGCCAAAACCCTCAATTCTATCGATATCCAATCCTATCTTCGGTTTATAGCTTAGTTTGGGGCTATCAGATCCGTACCTCGAGAAGCCACAACTTTCTTTCAGCCTATTCGCTTGATCGTTTCGCGAGCTTATAAGTCGATTGATGTTGTATTGTTGCGAGAGAAAAACAATGTATCATGGCTGATACTATCAAGCAAACAGGGTGTTTGGCCTTTCGTTTCTTCGCTTTTGGAACACCGCCACTAACCCTCGAGCCGGCGGCTAGGGTTTTGGCATCCTTCATGGTCGTCGAGGCGCCCCTCACCGCGGTAACAGCACCATCGGCGACGGAACTGTTCTCCTTCCCGGAGGAACCGGAGGAGGATGAAGCCTTGAGCTTCGAGGAAGGTAGCGGCAAGGCTTCAAGGGCGGGGAATTTGGGGCGCAGGAAGGTAGCGGTAGCGAATTTGGGGCGGCGAGGGGAGCGGCTTCGCCGAGAGGGGAGGGCTTGCCAGCTTGCCACTCGCCGCCATCTGCTCGTGGAAGCGGAAGGGTGGGAAAATGCGAAGCGGGGAACAGAAAAGTGACCAAAAAATTGTTGGTCACTGGTCAGGATGTTTTGCACACTGTTCGCTTGATCGTATTAGCCATGCTTATCAGTCATGATACAGTGTTTTCTCTCAACAAAACAACCAACCGGGGTGTTGAAAGAGGACTGCAAAAAGTAGGGGCACGCGTAAATAAACACGAAAAATATTCTTCGGGCTTCGGATCTTATGGGCCTCTATTTGAACCTGTAACTTCCTACATAACAAAATGGACCTTTATAAGGGCTTCGGGTTGTTGGTGTTTGAGGCCACATATTAGCAAACATATATTAGCAAACATGATCCGTGTATTGTAAAAAATATATAATCTATTGTACTGTTGCTAAAAAATAACCTATTGTACTTTTATGAAAAATGTGAAAGGAATGCTACATACTCCCTCAATTCTATAAATAGTGTCGTTACGAGATTCGTGCTGGTCAAATTTTCTTAACTTTAACTATATTTATAGAAATATTAGTAATATTTGTACCTCTAGATAAGTTTATTATAAAACATATTTAGTGATTCATCTAATGATACTAATTATACAACATAAGTATTAATATTTATATATATATATATTTGGTCAAAGTTGATAATGTTTGACTTCTCGAAAAGTAATAATAGCATAACATAATTTATGGGACAGAGAGAGTATCTATTTATATTTTACCTTTTTCTATTAAATTTTAAAGCTATAATTTATTTTATGATGGTTAATTCATAATAGAAGCTAATGTTGACAATAAAATGGTAATGTCCTATCAAATTATTTTAAATATGGATTTCTTCTTATGTGCAAAGAACAAAAAAATTACTCGTAAATATTGCACAAAAATATTTCTTTCATCCATCTCCAAGTCTTTGTTCTCCATCTTGGTGTGTACCTAATTTAGCTTAATCATACACTTAGCAAAAGTTTAGTCTACTAGTTGTCTCAATTACCAAAATCAAAAATAGGCTTTCACCTTTCCATGCCACTCGATCACTCTTGAGTTAGGTCTCACCTAATGACACTAGATAATTGTTTAGCAAACAAGAATGCCTCTCCTGATAGTACGGCTATCTATCATAAACTCAATCATGCACTTCTTTACTCACCAATGGCTGATAAATTGAAATGGCCTACAACTCATACATTTGCCTTGTGTATTGTATTTCATCTCCATATGCCCTCAAGCATCCACTCTCCATCTCACCATCTTCCATAGGATGAATAACGGTCATCTCAAGTGTGGCCAACAAGGCCACCTTGGCCATTGTCCATACAATAAAGCTCATCCATCTTCACTTCATAAGCCATCGATCATAGCATTGATTGCTCTTTTCTGTTGCATTGGTTCATCGACGCCAAGCCCTCTACCCGCTCGGAGCTTATCTGTTATTAGGGTTCCAACAAGCTTTTTAATACTCTATCTTGGTAGTACCTTGGTTAAAAAAAAGGTTTCTCTACTCTATCTTTATACTCTTCGTTAGTACTCCTTTTGCACCATGTTTGAGTGGCTTTACTTTTTCTAGAATCGCATGCTTATAGTTGATAGCTAGGTTTTTGGAATCTAGCGTGTAAACTTATATTTGTGCAGTATAGTCGTATAGGTGATGGCAACACATGAAAAAAAAAAACTAAGACGCATTTAGACAGATTTGGGGTATGATTTTGTATACGCAAGGCTGACTATATATTTTGAAGCCACTAATTCACTTCCTGGTCAGGAGCCAGGACCCCTTCGTAGTTCAAAGAAAATCGTACAAGTCGTGGCAAAATTGATCGAAAATTCTGAAATGCTAACTGCATGGGTGCCGGTGAGATCGACCACGTTTTTTCTAGATTGAATCGAATATAACACTCGTAATCCTAAACGTGGCAACTAAGGACGACCGTACCATTTCTTTATCCATGTGCCGTTCAGGTTTCACCCATCGGCACAGTCGCACAGGGCTGCGCCGTCCTCGTCTTCTTGACCGGCGGCGGCCCCGTGCATCACGTTTTTAGTTTAAGAGAGAAGCCAAATAATTCTTCACCCGCTTAATGATTCCAGGCTCAACACGGCTGTTACTGTACGAGCGTCGAGGACCAACAGCTCACATGAGATGTTTCCAGTGCTTCGCTTCGCCAGATGTCCTTTAATCAGATGCGACATGCATGGCCTCGGTCGGATATTATTTGCAGTGGCTGCACTTTGTCAACTGTGCTCGAGCACAGGCCTACCGTACCGAGGATGGACCAGCACCAACTGGGGAAATCATGTGCGTGCATGCGCTCTCAATGGTGATCCTGACCCCTTTCTGGTTATCCTACTTGCATGTGCACCATAGGTATGTCCTGGTCCTGCAAGGAGAGAAATGCAAGTGAACTCCATGGATCGCTTCTTGTTTTAGGCCCCGTTCGGTTCCTGGGGATTGACCTCCGGGAACCATTCCTGACCGAGTTTCCTTCGACAATTTGAATAACGTCGGAACTGTTCCGACCTGGAACGGCCTGGAACAGCGATAACCGAACAGGCCCTTAGGCTCTGTGAGCAGGGAAGCTTCTTGGTTTACCTAGGCTAGAGGTGGCCAAAACGAAGATTATTCGTCAAATAACCTACCAAACAACTTTTTTTTGAAAATTAATTAACAACTTTAATAACTACGTTACACAAATGTAGAGGGGAACTTTCAAGGCTTAAGGGTCAGAATCATGCTATGATTTTGGGCCTCTTTGGCACAGTGTGAGCTGGGTTTTTTTTTTTGCCATTTCCAAAACAGCTTCATCAGTAAAGCTGGTTTTCTCCTCTCATATAGACATGAGTTGAGATGAAGCTGAAAAAAATAACTTATCTTATGTCTCTCCCTCATTTCTCTTTCTCATCCATATATGAAGTTGTTGGTGAAGCTGTTTTGCCAAACAATTTTTCTAAAACAGCTCAACTTCACCTAAAGAGTTGCTCATTAAACAATTTTACTAGTGAAGTTGAGCTGTGTTAAACGGGGCCTTCGTAGTTCCCCACCTTCTCATCTAATCAACCAACCAAGTTGGACTTGATTTACACTGACCTCCCAAGTCCCAAGCAAAGCTTACAAGAGTTTAAAATACAAATGGAAGCATGTGTTTTATGTGCCGCCCTGCCCAGTGCCCACTCGCATCAATCAAAGTGTTATGAAACTAATTTTGCTAGTGTGCTTATACCGAATTAACTCTTGAAGCTCTAAGAGTTATAACTAAAGAAGTTAAAGGGTCATCTTTTATCTATATAAGGAACCTATATATTCACTATTTGAGATAGAAAAATAAGTGAAGACCGGTTCCACAAATACTTTGTCCATGGTATCATTCTATTTTTTCTGTGATCTTACAACGGAAACGGGAGACAGTATATTCTATTAATTCTCACGTCTCTTATTGCTGGGTAACGGATCAGGATCCGTAACTAATTTCTTCTTATCAAAGCAGGGAGGTTTGGCCTCCAACCACGGCGTCCATGTCGTCCAAAATTCTCTAAGCCGTTGGATCTCGCGTTTTACGGCTCAGATGGCTTGAAGCGGATTTCGTCGTAAGCGGTTTCCCCTGCTTCTACTCGCATTTTCCGGCTTCTCCTCGGCTTCTACTCGGCTTCTCCGGCTCCTCGTCGGAATCCGGCCAAACGAATATATTCCCACCTCCTGCTTCAGCTTCTACACGCTTCTCCTTTCCCCATCCTCTCTCTCCTCTTCCCTCTCTCCCCCGACGGGCGACGGGCAACGCCAGGGCGACAGTGGCTCGCGCCGGCGCCGACCCGCGGCTGCGGCCGGCCTCGCCCTCCTCCTCCTCCACCCTCGCGTCGAATCGGGCTAGCCGGACCCATGCCAGCGGCGCACCGCACGAAGCGGTGTCGGGGCGCGACGGCTGCCTGCAGCGCAGGCCATCACACGCACAGCGCATGAAGCCCGCACGGCTGCCTCCTCCTACCGATGTTGCGCTACCGCTTCCCTCATGCAATAGGGAAACCCTAGGTGCCTCTCCGCCTCCCGATCGTCGCCTTTCCTTCCGCCTCGGATCGGTGCGTGCGCTCGGCGGGAGCGCTTCGATGCGGCCGGATCGAACGCCGCACCAGCGCGGGGAGCCGTCAATCAATCCGTCCGGCCATCGCTATAGCCCCGCCACGGCCGCATCGGATCGGGTCACATGCTGAGCACCCTCACGACGACGCGACGCACCAACCAAGACGACCGCTGCGTCGTCACCGGCCCCATTGACGTAACCAAAGCCAGTTCAGCTGCATCCTCTGCTCTATTTTGTCCTGCCTGACCTTGCTTGGTCATGCTACGGTAACCTAAAAAAACCCCTATATCTCCTTTGCCACCTTATGTCTCTCATCCCTTGATTCTGTTTTCTATATATATGCGTGTAGTTTGCTTGCACATACGGTTTCTGTTCTCGAAAAAAATGAAAATGTCTCCCCTCATAGCTTATGCATGTTATTGCTAATCTGGAAGGCGCATTGTTTGCAGGTTTGGGGCATTGATGAGGACAAACTATGTTATCTGCATAACGTATTCAAAAGGCGGTCACTACATTCTCTGCAAAAGCTTCGCCATGTGACTATGTGAGTTAGCCCCATAGGAGATAGGAACGCTGTTAAATCGGTTTCTACTAAAAAAGGTGATGCAAAATTGTAGCATCTTAATTTCATTACTACTACGGTCTCGTGCCTAGCGATGGCTCATGAGTTATCGGCAAATGATAATAGTAGATAGAAAATGCATATATACCACGAATACCGAAAGCATTATAATTGCTTAAAGTATTCATTTATATGAAATTATAATTGCTTATAGTAACCATTTATACTTCATACTAGCATTCTGAAGAAAAACCGTATTCACAGGCAGCACCTCTCCTCGAATCCTCGTCCTCCCGAATCCCGGCGCCCTGCGGTGCCCCAATCGCGTGCCGTGGTGGTGGAGAGCTGCTCATCGGCGGGGGGGCCTGCTTTCTTATCCGGTTGCTTGTCACAGGTGGTGCTTATTTTCCTCTCATCAATTTCCTCACGTTCAGTGATGAATTCCATGTGTTTGTGTGTGCATGCATATGTTTGTTGTATATTCTGTATGCGTATGCTTAGAATTGTCCTTTGTACACAATGGGTTCGTCGCTTCTTACCACGCTGTTCTTTCTTTTGTTACCTTATGTTTCCTAGCGAATCGCTAGTTTCGCTTGTCTTACTCCGTGTGATCGTGTTGTTAGGTACATTCAAATATCTCCCCGCGTCGATTCGATCCGAGTTCCCGTGCTGCTTGCCCCGATTACCGTCCACGCTTCTGCTGCTGTTCAGCGATGTGTTTTGTTCCTCGGTCACGAGGTTATCCATTACGTACTTTGGGTTTACCTAGCGCTCTCGCCTCTGTTCGTCTCCGGGCATTTTTTTTTTTCAATCCTTTGCTTGAGAGGTCACGAATTGAATCTGGGCTATCAATTTTGGCGCAGGCTATAGGATTGGATGAGATCTTGGCGAAATCTTGCTCCATTCTTCCTTCAGTTGGAGGTTCTGTCCTGGGTGCATTGTTTAGTTCCAAGGTTGCATCTTGTTGGATCTTGGTTCCTGGCAATTCCTATGGTGTTTATATCAGTTCTATTAAACTTGCCTCCATACTTTGCAGCAATGGTGCGTTAAAATTGGCGTCATGGTGCCTCCTATGCTCCTTAAGTGAAGGTACAACACTGCGACCGCTCACTTTTCATCTCTTTTTTCCTCATAATCGCAGTATACCTATTTGCAAATACAAAAATATCAACATTAGCTGTACTAACATGAGCTAAGTCTGGTGGAAGTGCCAACTAAGTAGGCATGGGTCTGCTTTTGTCGTTTGACAGAATAAACATATATTGAATTTTAGATCGCATCCTTAGGAATCAGGGAAGACGCTTACTTTTGGATGACATGAGTGATCCTATTTCTAACCGATGGCATGTTTGCCTCCATGCGTGCCATTTGTTGTTGGTTGTATATGCAACCCAACTTGGGCTTCAGTTCATGCTTTGGCATTCCAGAAAATTTTTGACAATTCAAGACTTGACCTCGGTACTACTGTCTTCATCTTAAGCTATGTAGACATGGCTTTGCTATTTCTTTGCATAAACATAGGTATTGATTTACCCTCCTCGCATTTGAGACATGAGCCCATCATGCATGTAACTGTTTATTTCATAAACATATTGATTTCTTTCGCAAATGGTTCTTTTATCCACCAAGCTTCTATTTCTGTACCTGCGTTGTATGTCACTGTAGCCCCTTGAACTTTCTTCATTGTAATATATATACCATTCGTGGTGCCCTGAAATAACCATAAGGAACTGTGGAACAAAAGTTGATTATTAGATAAAGGTTGAAAAAGACATGAATTTCCATGTTCCCAGTTCTGTCATTGCTGGCCATTATCATGTATCACAATATTTGCGTTCAGCTGTGTTCCTTATCGCCATCCAGGCACATGATTTGCACACATGGATGGGTGTATGTGTTAAAGTTATAAAAAATAGCAAAGATTTTTCCGATCAGAGCCTTGATGAGATCAGGCTTCTGAAGTATGCTAACAAGCATGATCATGCTGACGAGAAACACCTTTTGTGTTCGTATGATTACTTCTACTATTGGGTAAAATTGAGCCTTTACTCTTGATAGATCCCTTTTGAGTGTTATTTAATTTTGATCGGGTGTTGAATTTATCTACAGCTCCACTGCTTGCTCTGCACTGTTCTGGTTCTCCATCTACCATTAGCCACCTCTGGTCATTGTCGCTCTGGCATTGGCTTCGAGCACAACGGCCCCAGCTGCAGCGCCCAGACGTCCATCGCCTGAGCTATCCCTGTCCTCGCTTTTCCCCTTTTTTGTCTCTGGTGCGTGCTCTCCTTGCGAGCGCCGAGGCCAGACGCGTGTGTGGATCTGGCTCGCCGGCCTTAATCGCTGGAGTAGCCCCACATCGGCGCGTCTGGCCCATTGTGCATGGCGGAGGTGCGCTCTCTCCCTTCTCCCCCTCCTCTTCCCTCAGCTCCCTCTCCTCACTGTATGTATATCTTCCTTCTGATATCATGATGTTATATTGGGGTGATTGTTTGTAGTTAGCTCATCAAGAATAGTCATTTTTTTTTTCATGAGCCTCCTGTATAGCTCATCTCTTATGGTGACCGAGCTTTTTAACGTTTGCTGTATTTTGTTGCTGCAGGGAGCTTTGGATGGTGGCCTGGATATTCCTCACAGTGAGAAGCGATTTGCTGGTTTCAAGAAGGATGACAAGCAGCTGGATGCTGATATCCACCGCAAGTACATCTATGGTGCCCATGTTACTGACTACATGAAGGTGAGTTGTGCTTGCTGCTTATCACACCACATTTCCTTTTCCTTTGTTCCCTTGTAACTTTATTTCAGAAATTGTTGACCGTCCTACATCACGACATTAGTAGACTAGAGGCTGACTAATTTCTTCTGCTCTTTATGTCCCAGAACCTTGCTGAAGAGGAGCCAGAGAAGTACCAGCCTCACTTCAGTGAGTTCATTCAGAAGGGAATTGAGGCTGAGGACATGGAAGCTCTGTACAAGAAGGTCCATGCTGCGATTGGTGCTGATCCTTCCATGGTCAAGTCAACCAAGCAGCCACCAAAGGAGCACAACAGGTATAGTAGCTACCCTCCTTATTTTTTATATCTGTACACTATATATGGTCACCATAATTCTATCGTTTGCTCTGCCTTACCTTCTGTGTGTTTTCAGGTACAACCCCAGGAAGCTGACATATGAGCAGAGGAAGGCCAGCCTCGTTGAAAGGCTCAACCAACTCAACTCCTCCACAATTAAACCAAAGAATCTACTCAGATGCCTGCCTCTAAATTACATTAAAGAAAAGTTAATAACGAAGCTAGAAAGGAGGAACCTTGTCTATATCAAAGTAACATTGAAATGATTTCAGGTATGTTACGCCTGTCACGTTTTTAGTAGTGTGGAAGTTCTTAATCACCAGTGTTAGCTTACAGTGCTTTATGTGCCCTTGAGGTTTTAGGGCACTGTTCTAGAATTTGTGTTGTAAGTTCGTGATTACCACGCATAGAAAATACCATGATTTCAAAAGTATGCATAATACATGTGTCCTACACCATAGAAAAAAGGCTCCAGTCTTTCAGTTTTTGTGCATGACATATCTACATTAAACTCATAATATTGTTTCCATGCAGAGATTAGACATGTTTTTTTACCTGCGCCTTAACCAGATGATTTGCCGGCGCGCCTTAACAAGATAAAGAGCTCCCTAGCTTATAAGGATTTATTCATGCTACAATGATTAGGACATGACGTCCTTTTCTCTATTATTATTCCTGCCATGTTGATATGATGATGATGTCAGCTCCTACCTAATCCACGTGCTCTATCAACAGAACAGTGTCATCTCCTGGCAGATTTGTAACCTCTTACCTCTGTGTGTATTTTTAGTTGGCTTTGTTTCTAAATGCTGATACAGCTTGTGGACTACAGCGAGGTGCTATTTTGATAAATCTTAAGGTTAAATAATCATATATGGTTATATGTTGATGTACTGTGCTTCTATGCCTTATACCATACTAAAGGATTAGATCAAATGAATGAGTATGGTTACTATGGTTGGTCTAAGGTACATGATAACAGCGTGCGTTTACCTATGTACTTCTCCACGCAGCTATACAATCCGTTTGATGGCCTGGAGAAAACTAAGTGAGGAGTAATTATCACAAGGTCCTTGATTTATAGGTTCGTAACTTACTTCGTGCCTCATTTGTGATAAGGATTTTTCCTAGTGCATGCTGTGCAAATTTCTAGATTCAGATAATTCAGTCTCATGCCATACTTAAATTTAGTCACTATATTGTTGGAAGATATCCTACGCCTGATGATACTATTTTTTACAATGTAGTGACCATCTCCTAACTCGGATAGAAAGGGCAATGGAAAATCTAATCCACGGTCCTTGTCCTTTATTTTTTGACTTCTAATTGACAGTTCAATGCTTCATCGCATTAGTGCTTCTATTAATGTATTTTACTATTTCTTCATATAGATCAATTTTCCCTGTTGCCTTGTAGTTAATTTACCTTGTAATCATGGCTGCTCTCTATTTGGTGCCAGGTTGTTAGTTGTCAAACTTTTTTTACCATGTGCCGGATTCATGATCTAGGCGAGTTAAATATATATCCATTCATTTTACTCCGTCTCCATCTAATTTGACCCTTCAATATTTTACTGACCACCTTCTAACCATAGGTCGTGACTGGGTTAAGCAATGAAACTGTAAATTATTCTTAGAAATATGCAAAATTTGTTCAAACAAGACCTTAGGTCTACCTGCTGTAGCACTCACCATTTTGCCTCCATTTTCTATTTTTCAGATCTTCGTCCATAATAATTTAAGACAATTACCAGCCACACACAGTTATGTAGATTTTTATAGCAATTATGTCAGATTACATGATTATTGTTCATGATGAAGATTAGACACGCCCATGCATTCTAACATAATCTGTATACCCTTCAATTTTATATATCAGACCTATGCGCGTAATTTGTCGACGCGCGTGATGGCGCGTGTGATGCATTGGTACATATTATTAAAATACAAAGAAGCTAGCCGTCAACGGCGGTTCTTCCGGTCGCAGAAACAGACAGGCTCTAACCGAAGAACGAAGACCTGCAGGCTCTGTCTCGGTATACTACTGCTACTGTACAATTTAGTAGCTAGCCTATATAGGCTACGCACAATACTGTAGTCTGGGCGCTGGCCGCTGGGTCGGTGTCACCGCGAAAGTTTATCCTCCCGCTCCAGAGTCCAGACAGAGCCACTGGCTGATCTTTTTTCTTCGGCGAAACCGACGCGACACCGACGGAGAGCGAGCGGGGAGAGGCGTGCAGGGACGGCAGCGCTGACCGACCGAGTGGGTGCTACGGAGTCGCACGCACAACGCACGGCAAGAACGGGGACCGCGTCTTGCCGGGTTGGCGTGCGTTCTCGTCCTACTTTCCCTACTAGGCTCGTCGCTCGTGTTCTGAGCCCGGCCAAACTCGCGCGCTATTTGCTGCTGCCGTCTCGGGTCTTGCCGTGGCAGGGCGCCCATAGCAGGTTTTGTACACTGCAGGCTCAGGGAATCCTCCAGTTTCGTTTCAGCACGTTTTTTACTCCCTGATGAACAGGACAGGGCTAGCTCCTGTTTTCTTTCCGCGAAAACCTCGTCACGAGAACCGAGATCACACCGTTTTCTCCGCCAAAAACTCGTCCTTTGAACAAGGGCTGTTTGGTTCAACCCCAGGCAAACTTGTGTAGCGCGCCGTGCGTCCCCCCAGACGTCCGATTTCGATAAATTGGCACCTGGCCGTGAGTGTGTCTTGGAGGGTTCGATCCAAACACCCTTAAGAGCATGACTAATAACGATCGGATGCATCCATGGGGTGCAAGCGGCGATCCATCTGGGGACTGCCAATGTCATTTTGGAGACATGCTGTGATGGTGAAACAAGCAATGAACGCAGAAGGCTATGCTGATTCACCGGTCGGTAGCCTGCTCGAGGAGCTTCAGAGTCTGGTGTTTGCCAATTTCAATTCTTTTTATTTGTGTAGCTGTCTTCAGATTTTGTAACAAGGTTGCTCATGAGTCAGCAACTGGTGGGTGTGCTTGTATAGAAGGGTCTGAGCAAACTTTGAGCTCGGTACCGGGTCATATTGCTGTAATTGTTGCTGATGAGTAATCGGCACATGAGTAATGAAAGTCACCCATTATCAAAAAAGAAAATACAACATTTGCTAGTCATATACGGATTACATCCTACCTATCAGCCTACTTATATAGTACTCCCTCTATTCCAAATTATAAGTCATTCTAAGAATCTTGGAGAGTTAAAGCATCTCAAGTTTGACCAAAATTATAGAAAAAACTATAAAGATTTGTGACATCAAATAGTTATACTATAAAAATATAATTAATAATGAAGAATCTAATGATACTTAGTTGACATCATATATGATATTATCTTATCATATAAATTTGGTCAAACTAGAGACGCTTTGATTCTCCTAGATTCTTGGAATGACTTATAATTTAGGATGGAGGGAGTAGTTGCTTACTAATCCCTCTATCCTAAATAAATCATTATAACTTTTTTGATAGTTAAAACATCTCAAGTTTGGCATAAAATATAAAGAAAATTATGAAGATTTATGATATCAAGTAGGTATATGAAAATATAATTAACGAAGAACCGAATGAAACTTATTTGGTATTGTAAATATTATTATTTTATTATATAAATTTAGTTAAACTAGAGATGTTTTGATTCTCAAAAAGTTAAAATGACTTATAATTTCTAATAAAGGGAGTAGAACATACCCTCATTAATATCTGGTTCAACTTTCTTCTCCGACCTTCTTAGATTTTGTGCTTGAGCCTAATGTAGACCTACAGTTCACTTTCTTTCTCTTCTCTTTTTTATCCACCTCAGTATTTAGCCTACTAGGACCTTTGGTATGGTGGCACTATGGATCGGTCTGTTCGGCTGGAACTTGCCTCATTTTTTGGAACGACCTTTTTTGTTATTTTTTTTCCCGTGGGAGGAGAGCAGCTGCATGCCGTCGTATTATTATTTTCTGCTATTCATACAAAGAATTTAGGAGAGTAATAGTGATCGGTGAGCTACTGTGTAGTAGTAGTACTATGAAAGCTTCAGGCGCTGCAGCTCTCGAGCTGAAGATAAAATAAAGCGTGTATTTATACAGCATACCACAATACATTACACGCATACATGTTCATAAAATAAAATTAAATAGACCAAACATCTTCCACTGAACATACAAACCCTCTACAAGAGGGAGGATCCAGCGTAAAACATACAGGACAGGGAGAGGACAATAAAATGTACCGGAACGTGCACGACACTACACATCGCTCCTCAACATATGGAGCAAGGCAGCAGCAGCCATTCGTTGCAACGTATGGCGCCGGTCACGGACCAGCGAAACTGCTGCGAGCATGTTCATCATCTGCAGCAGCAAACAATCTCGCGAACGAACGGCTGACCGACCTTACGTATATGCTTGTTGTGGCCAATTAGGATGAGCACCAGAACAATTCCTAACTTCGTCACTACTAGTAGTAGTAGAGCAGTAAACTGAGTAACCGACGGTAAATTATTCTTTCCCTTAACCTGAAGCTACGACGTGCACTGCACCATCCGTGAACAATATCTGTTGATTTGGCATCTTCCTTTTGGGTAAGATCAGATCTGCTTGACTGTCGCTTCTTGGCCCAGATCCAGCCAAGGTTTCTTCTCCGCTCCGGCCGCTTGCTTGGGCGCCTCTACGCCAACAGAGCTGTTGACTTGGTATGGCGCCTTTGCAGTTATCCTGGAATTTGAATGAAAAAAAAGCACAAAAACATGTCACAACTCTGCTTAGCTGAACTTGATTCCACAGGTGATCCTGAATGCAACTGTTTCCCATCACTGAAAATTCGAAAGAAAAAAAGCAACTCAGTTACCTGTCCTTTCTCTTCTCAAGGAACCTGTGGAGTGAATTCCTCCTCGCAATCGGCAGATCTGTTACAGAACAAACATAAAAAAACACTTGTGTCTCAGACAAAGTTGTGTGCAACGACCATCATCTTTTTTTCCACTTTAGTTTGTGCAACAAAAGTTTGAATGGGTATGGTATGGGCTGCCAAGTAGTGTAGTGCCGTTGTCGTGGTAGAACAAGAACTGCAAGAGGAGGGAGGCTTACCAGAGAGGCTGCTGTGTGAAGGCGTAGGCAGGTTCTGCGTTGGGACAGTGGCACCGGCCTTGTCCACGCCGTCGCCGCCAGGGTTCACGATTTGCAGCAAGTCCTTGACCTTGGTGGAGGGGAACTTGTCGAAGACGACCACTTTTCCACCGTAGAAGATGGTCAGCTGTTGCG